ATTTTTAATTAATTAATATTAGGGTTGGTGTTAGAAGGCGTTTACATATAGTAAAATCGCATTTCTGACACTTTTACTTAGTGAACCAAGATCGATTCAGATAGCCGTTTTTTATATATTTCGTGTTTTTGTCTTTGCCGTTTCGCTTTGTTTTGTTCGGACTGATAATTGATTTTTTGGGTGACGCTAGGGAGGTTGGTTATGCTAGGGTTTTAAAAGCTCCAAGGGCTTTGTATGACCGCATGTGTTTTTTTAAAATTTATCCACTGGTTGAAAAATAACACAGGTCAATATACAAACCATTCTATATGTTATAATTAAACACCTAAAAAATTTTTTTGCATATCAAAATTAAAAAAATTAACTTTGTAGTTTGTACACTCAAGTGAATGCTAATGCGTTTAACTAATTTGGAATACGTACATACTTAATCGAATTAAAACCTTTAATTTCTATACTACGCTTAATATTTGTAGTGCAGTGTAATAAACAATAATCAACATGATCAGAAATAAACAAATTTATAAGACGCTGGTTATATACACATATATATATATCAATATGCAGTAAATTTGATGCATTATTCATTCACAACCTACATAAGTAATCAATCTCACTCTTTTTTTAAAACAAAAATGGAAGTTGCCTTGAAAATTGTTTTCACGTCAGTTCTGATTACTTTATCATATGTGTGCCTAGGATATTTAATAGGTGATATGGATTCACCGTATAGAGCTCTATTACTTTATACTGGACTCTGCATTTATTCATTCTTGAATTTAAATGTACGCATTAACGAATTTTTATATTTCTTTAAAAAGTATCGCAAAAGAATAATACTTTCGTCAATTCTGCCTACCTTAGTAGCTTTGTGTGATTCATACTCTTTTGCCGCTATCTCTATTATTGTATTAACATTAATCATGGTGACTTCTGTTTTGTATAGTTTCCGTATAGAAGATGTCATCGGTATATGCTTTCGATTAATGATTCCCTTTGTATCCATAGTATTATTAGTAATTTTATTTAAAAATATGGTAGAATTTATATTATTTTCAAGGTCATTTGCAGATACTTTCTATTCATGTTTCAAAGAATTTCTTTTTATATCATTTAGTTCGTTATTGGCTTCATTATGTATGATATTTATTCGTATGATTATGAAAAAACATATTTCTCTGCAAGCATTCAAAAATGAATTGACCTTTTGGTGGTTTTTTGCAAAACTTGTGTTCTTTTTCCTCATGCCAATTTGTCTATATTGCGGTAAACAACGTTCAGGATGGACCTGGTGTTATACTTGTGGAAAAAAATATTTTCGGAATAATTTTCAAAATTGGTCAAGCGGAAATGATGATATTGATGATTTAATTAAATACTATCAATTAAATGCCAGACATGGTGTTGATTTTATTGAATGGATTCCTTATGATCGATTCAAAAATTTCAAATTTATTGGGAAAGGTGGTTATGGCACTGTTTATTCTGCTGTTTGGCTGGATGGCCCTTTGCAAATGTTGGCAGGTAAATTTTCCAGACAACCAGGTGTACATGAAGTAGCTATTAAAAGCATCGAGAGTTCTCCCTATAATGTATCTGATGAAATTAAAACTTCAGAAATTTTTAGAGAGGTACGTAGTTACTTACTTTATGAATATTTTTCATATATATAGTACCTTCATAAATAATAAAGCTTACTATAATTTTATGCAGCCAATTGCGCTTATAGCATCTGCGATTTCATGTAGAAACGACATGGTAAATTCTGATGTCCTTGGGTGTTTTGGGTTAAGTAAAGATCCTAGTACCAATTCTTATTTGATTGTTACGAAACTATGTAAATGTGATCTTTGGAGGTATTTGGAACAGAACTTTGGGAAAATAGATTGGTTTGAAAAATTGCGAATTCTAATAGAGGCTGCTAATGGATTAAAAACAATACATTCTGCTGGTCTTATTCATCGAGATTTTCATACTGGAAATATTTTAGTCGGTTATAATAATTCTATCTATATTTCGGATCTTGGGTTGTCATGTTATGAAGATAAGGATACAACAAATTCAGTAAATTCTGGTGTATTTGGTGTTTTACCTTATATCGATCCAGAAGTGTTAAAAGGAAATCCATATACTTTTGCTTCTGATATATACAGCTTTGGAATTATTATGTGGGTCATTGCATATGAAGAACTGCCTTTTCCCAAAGAAGCTCACGATGATTTCTATTTGTCGGTAGCCATTTGTAATGGAGAACGCCCACAAACTGCTAAAAATGTCACCATACCTGAATGCTATAACGAATTAATGGAACAATGTTGGAATAATATTCCATCAAATAGACCAAGTGTTAATGAATTATATGAAGTTTTAAGAGGATGGCGCTTTGCTGGAATAAGTGCCAATCAATTTGAGGATGCAAATAAGAATTATAAGGACATTAAAATTATTGATCAACCTAAACAACAACCGCCAAATAGTAAATTTATATTAACTACGCATTTAATGAATAATATTCCAAGTAAGTTATATTTATTGAATATTACATTGCCATTAAAATTATTGTTTTATTTATTGGTTTTTTTTTAACTAAATGTTATACAATGTGACCTTAATTCAGAAACTCCTGATATATCTATGCCATATGACCTCAATATATCTATACCATATGACCTCAATTCAGATTTGGAAATTCCTGATATATAATTTGTTTCTATAATATTACCGATATTGCAAGTAATCTATTTAAGTTTTGATTTTTTATTAATTTTAAAGATCTTACCAATAGTAATATGGTAATTGCAGTTTATTTATTTTTAGATACTGTAATAGCAAATGTAAGATATTAGAGGATGGAACCGGTTTTATTTTTCATATATTAAACCGTTTTTAACATATGAGTTTTTTTTGGACAAGGTTAACTCTATTCATCACATATCAGATTTTTACACATCATATCTACATGTTATTCAGCATCGGAAAAAATGATGGAATCACTGATTATTAAGAATGAAAGTGAAAGATCATTCCTTAGATCGATACCAATGCAATTATTCGCAAGTTTCTATTGGCCTTCACTTCATATCAAAGCTATCATTATTTAACATTTCTAAGTTTGGTTATTTTAATTAGTTGTGTTTCATTCTTGGTTTGGCGTGCTAACATCGCACAGCTTCTTCTATGTATAATAAACCGTTAGCACAAGCGACAATTTGTCAAATTTGAAAAAAATTTATACATGCAAAAAAAAATGAAAAACGAAAAAAGAAAATTCTCTGGTATGCCAATCTATTTAAATTATTAAACTTAAATATATTTATAAAATATTATTCAAACTCCTAAATACTATAGTTATATAATAGTAATAAAGTTAGAAGTTTATTTTATTTTTTTTTTTAAGGTGAAGTTTTGCCTTTATCTTTATTAATATTTTGTATTGAGAATCCACTATGGGTTTCTCTGG